TAAGCCTAACTGTTCAGAAAGTACATCGTATGATTATAAGAAATGACGAACAAACTACAGGTGAAAATATTACAGTGTGTGTAAAAACTGTAAAGTAGGTGGAAAACTTTTACAGATCAATTTTGTGTCCAGCAGTAACGGAAAGCAAGACACAAAATCTTAAGCCTAAACCCTGGGCATATTTTTTGTTCTTGTTGGAATAGCGGGTGGAATTCGGAGAGCAGATGGAAACAGTATAATATTGGAATACAAAAATTTAAGTTTCAAAAGAATACTTATTATATTTGGGCTGTAAACACTTTTTATAAGGCTCTAGACAAACATCGCCAGATTTCTAGTTCGTTCTACATAATTCTTTACGTATTTTGTGTCGTTGAATAAATTATTTTTAAGACTTGAACAGGTGAAAGTTGTTGTTTTGATACATATAAAATAAACGGTGTTGTGTTTTGTTTTGGTGAATAGTAGATATATCCTTGCACGAATCTCCGTCCCATCAAACATGCTCGTCCTTTCAGCCGTGGGGGCGTTATAATGTGACGGCCAGTCCCACTATCCGTTAGTAAAAGAGTAGCTCAAGAGTTGGCGGTGGGTGGTGGAGACTAGCTGCCTTCCCTCTAGTCTTTCCCTGCTAAATTAGGGACGGCTAGCGCAGATAGCCCTCGTGTAGCTTTGCGCGAAATTCAAACCAATATCCTTGCGTATTTGCCCAAAGAAGCAGAGAAAAATATGGCAGTCTTGTTAAACTGTAATAACGAAACATGGTGTCGTAAATTATCAAGATGTAAGCTTACCTGCAAGCGGGTTTTGTCCATGAACAAGCTTCATTCCACCTGCTAATGTAATAAATAACAGCCGAATTGAGCTCCGCGTGCGTCAGCCCAAACTTGTGATATTACACGAAATTCTCGTGCTTTGTTAAGTTTGTTTGATGTTGCTGATCGATAGAAAGCAATAAAAAAAAGTTAGCTCTCTGTTTTGAAACGATTTCAATGTTTGCATGAAATATTTGACACGCGCAAACTCAAAATGGCCGAATAAAACTTTTGTCTCTGTCTTTCACTCAATATATATATATATATATATTTCTCTGTCTCTCTCTCTCTCTTTCACTAGCTTCTCAGTATGTATCTCTCACTTTTCTTTCTACTCTCTCTCTCTCTCTTTCACTAGCTTCTCTGTATGTATCTCTCACTTTGTCTTTCACTCTCTCTCTCTCTCTTTCACTAGCTTCTCTGTATGTATCTCTCA